TTCCTTATACTTGTCGAAATGCATGTCTCATGGCGCATGCGCGCACACCTAATTACAAAATAAATGGAGTACTAGTCTAGCTCCTATAATATACTAGTATATGTTTTTATTTTTTTGCCATTTTTGGTTAAAAACGATAAATTAAAGGTATCCAGGAAAAGTTAGAGAGGGTACAAGTTGTTAAAAAATCTGCTTAACAGTTAATTGTTGAAGGAATAAGTAGAGGACTAGGTCTGTCAATATATAGAACTAGGGGTGTACATGGTCGGGTTGATTCGGGTTTTTCAAATATCAAACCAAACTATTTGTGTCGGATTTTTAAATTTATAAACCAAACCAAACCAATAAAACTCGGGTTTTTCAACCTCGGGTTTTTTGGATTTTTTTGGGTTTTTCGGGTTGTTTCGGGTTTTTCCGATAAAGTATTCATACAAACATATAATTTACTTGTACTTCAAATATTTCTTTAGTTCTACCAAAATACAACTATCTAAGATGTTTCTTACAAATATAACACTATGATATGATTAATGACACTAAAATATCCAACAAAAATAATAATAATGAAATCGCGTAAAACAAATATTGCAAATTAACAAGTCATAATGAAAATGATCATAATTTAAAAGTACTAAATCATGCTAAAAATAAGTTTAATAAGTATTAGTTACATGACTAAATATTAAAGGAAATTAAAATTAGATTATGTATTTTAATTGTCTAAACCAATGTAAAACTAAAGAATAAATATTCAATATTATTGTCATTCTTAGTGTTGAATTGATTTTCTTTTTGCATTAGTATTAATTTGATTTTGATTTAAGCTTTATTATAATTACCAACATCTGTGGACTATAATCATTATTGGCTCATTATAATTCTAAGTTTCAAACTGGAAATAATATACTAAAAGATAAAAACTATGAAAAAGTATAAGAAATATTTTAAAATTATATCAAAGTAAATATTTTTATGTATAAAATAAAATTTTAAAATTATATATATAATGTCGGGTTGGTTTGGTCTCGGGTTGGTTTTTTTTAGTTAAAACCAAACCAACCCAAATATAGTTGAGTTTTTTTTTTTCAAAACCAAACCAAGTCAAACCAAACCACTAATCGAGTTTTTTTTTTTAAGTTGACTTGATTTGCAATTTGGTTCGATTTTCGATTCGATTTTGTACAATCCTATATAGAACAACAAAATTGGATATATATATGCACTGGGAAAATGGAAATCCTACCAAACTAATTAAGTGCGACCTTCAAAGTCTTTATGTGCTGAAATTATTTATTTATTTAATAATTGGTGTGTACTCATCTTGGTCTAATGGTAGGTAAGGTAACGAAGACTTATCTACTAATCAACATGAAATATAGATGACGTGTTCTTCTTTTGCATGATATCATGATATGGATTTCAAAGTATAAAGATTAATCAATGGCCATATCTTGGAAAAAACTTAGCTGCATCGACTGTTTACACCAAACTAATATTAATGTAATTTTCATTATTATGTGATTTAATGAAGTAAAACACATGTTAATTAATTAAGATTAAGTAAAATGAATTATAGATTTAAACACATGGCATGCATATATTGGATTGGTGTATACACCCGATGTGGATAAGTTTTACCCCATATCTGCTGTAATTTCTCCTTTTTGAGTTTTGACATATGTATGTACGCACGCTATTTAATGTCGTTGGATTTTCATTTAAATATTCACATTTATATATAAGTTACGAGAGAATTTATTTATTATTTTATAAATAAATTTTACATAAAATAATATATAAATTGCATAATCATAACTAATCTCTAGCTCTCTCTATATTTACTAGAAAAACACCAGCTACCAAACGACCTTATTAGTATGTTCTTAATTAGTCCTACAATTATTACATTGCATCTCTTCTGCTGTCAAAATAATGTATCGAAGTTGAAACTTTTTTTTTTTGGTAGAAAAGTATCGAAGTTGAACCGAAAGTGGGATGATATATACTTAATTGGAAAATGATATATGTATAAGAATGTCTATATATATAGTTTATTGTAAATTGTTTAGTGAGTATTGGTTGTGGTCCTATTTAATTAAAATTCTTTAACGTATATTAAAAAGAATTAGTTTGAGTTAGAAAATAAATTGGTAGCTACTTGTCGCATAGAAATTAATACCATGCATGTATATATGTCCAAGTTACAAGTGTTAGATATATCGATATATGTAGACCCCACCCCAACCAAACAATATTATCATATATAATGTTGTGATGTGTTGTGTATATATTTATAGGAGAAGATCATATAAATATAAAAAAGAGAGAAATATTGATCGATCGATGGGAAAAGGGAGAGCAGCATGCTGTGATAAGAGTAAGGTGAAGAAGGGAGCATGGAGTTGTGAAGAAGATCTCCGTCTCATAACTTTCATTCAGAAGCATGGTCACCAAAATTGGCGATCCCTCCCTAAACAAGCTGGTTATTCGATCTTCATATTCTTTCATTTCAATTTATTACCTAATAATATAATTAAACATGTTGGTATATTACATGCTTCAATACTAATTAATTAATTACGTACTGTACGTGTTTGTTGATTTTTGTAGGATTACTGAGATGCGGAAAGAGTTGTCGTTTGAGGTGGATTAATTACTTAAGACCTGACCTTAAGCGAGGAAATTTCACCCCTCAAGAAGAGGACACTATCATCAAATTGCACCAATCTTTTGGAAACAAGTAGGCTCGATCGACTTTTAACTTTCAACATATATATTATCAATCAATATAACTTACTAGCTAATACATCCCTCTAATTCATTTCAGGTGGTCAAAAATTGCTTCTCATTTGCCTGGAAGAACAGATAACGAGATTAAAAATGTATGGAATACACATTTGAAGAAACGACAACTCATACACAGTGAAGCAAAGTTAGATGATTCATCATGTGCCTATAATTCACCTTCATCAACTTCAGTATTGTCACATGCCAATACGATAATTCATGAGAAAGAAGAAGCAAAAAGATCTTGCTCTTCCTCCTATAATATTAATGCTTCTTCATCTAGTCTCTCCAACTTGAGCCAAGTTGAGATCATTTCAAGTCCAAATATTGTAGATATGGATTGGATATTCCAATTCAATGAGGAATCTAATAATTATCTTGAGTTGACAAGGGTGCTGCAAGATGATGGGATAATTGAAATCCCATTGGAATCATGTGATCATGTTGATATTTGGGACATGTTAGATATTATGGACCCTCCACTCCAAACTGGACAATGGACATGAATAAAGCATCTCAGCCACTTTTTGAAAATGAATGCCAAAACTGGTTCACGTACATACTTTGAAAATGAATTATTAGGTGTCGTGTGTCGTCTAAGCCACACTACTATACTACTACATCCAATTAATTAGTAGTAATTGTTACCATCAACGGCACTAATGCTATTAAAGCCCAACCTCTTACTAATAAGAAAATTTGTGTCTCATACAATTGTCTGAGACACAAAATAATTGTTTAGTATCTATTAGCTAGCTAGAGATTAATACACATCGATGAGTCTCTTCATGTTTTTATTTCTTTCGTTATGAACTAATAGTCCCCTGAAGCATATATAGGTTCAGAATTTTAAATTTAGGTTCAAATGTAATACTACTTGTATAATTGTATACTATAGAAAAATTAGTGTAATTTCACACCAGGTAGTGGTTGAAAAATCTGTTTTGTTTTTTCCTTTCTATTTTTAAAGTAATAATTACTAATAATTATACACTTGTTTATATGTAAGAGTTAATTAGTTAGAACGAAACTGATATGTACGAGTACGACTTAATTTTTACATTTGACAAACTCAGTGGATGAATCTATCTTTGAGTAATTTCGTTTTTTCCTTAATTTCTCTAACATAAAGAAAACTATATATAGAAATTTAGAAAAAAAAGCAAACACAACATCAATATGCATATATCTAACACAAATTCAAGTTACGTTGAGTGACCCTAATAGTAGTAAGAGTGACTAGCACGCTTTTTTTTTCTTCTTCTAGGAGTAATAATTATACTAAAAACTTTCTACATCCAAAATATATGTATACACAAGTGTACGTATACATGATATCGTTCATTTCCATATACATAGCAAATTATAGCTAACTAAACGATGATTACAAAAAAAATGTAATATTTTTGTTTGATGATCAAACAAGCAATAGATAAAACGAAGGGATATTAACTAAATTCTAGGAATGAAAATAAAAATTCCCCAACATGTCAATTAATGAAATGATCATCATATATCCTGACACTTAAATTGATCAATTAAGCCTACGTATAACCCAATTACTTCAATATGGATTGAACATTGACCTTGGTCACAAAGATATATATATATATATATATATATATATATCCTCAGAGAGTTGCATACAAGCCTTAGCTAAAATAGTCTACTTTTTCCTCATGCCTGTGGGATCAAAGCTAATTAGATTAAAATATCAATTCAAGCTATAATGTTGAAGCTCTAATTCATAAGTTGGGGTTGACATTATTTTCATCATTCAAAAAATTAACCAACCTGTGTTTAATTATCTTATAGTACTGTTCAATTTAAAGATATAGGGAAAATGATAATTGAGGGGCTGGGTCATTTAATTGACTAAATTAAGCATAAGATTGAATAAATAGTAAAGCAAGAATATAATTTATTTATGATTGTAATAAAAAAGTTATTTAAATATCATAAAACATATTCCATTATTTTATTTTCTCACAATGATTTCCTATGATATTGAATTGAAATTGTGTAGCTTTGAGTTACTAGTTGATTTATTTATTTTTTTAAAAAAGAGTTAGAGTACTAGTTGTTATGAAAAAGAAAAAAATAGGAGTATATGTTTACATATAAGGTAAAAATATATGACCAAAGTGAAAGGGGAAAAAAATGGGGGGACGAATTTGCGAATACGTTGCCTGAAGTTTATAGGACGCCGGCGGTATTACTGAGTTGATAGCTGCGGGAGGGAGAAGACATTGTATGAGTGATGGCGTCGGGGATATTAACAAGGTCTCTCTCTCTTCTCAAGTCTTCCACTTTCTTACCTTCCACAAAGCCCCAATTCATTTCTTCTGTAAGTTCCTCTCCCTCTTTCGTTGTGAATTTGTGTTTCTCGTTTTTGTTAAGTAAATATTACCAGTGTCTTTTCTGTATTCAGTAGCCGAGAAATTCATATCTACCTCCCAAAATTACTTACAACTTTACTCTACTTGCTCAATAAAATGAAATCACCTAGACTAGATTGTTAATTTCTGATGATAGTCATTTCCTCCTATCAGAAGAAAACATTCTACTCCCAAGCTGCACCAACCTATTTCTCTTACAAGCTGGTGGCTTCCCTTACATATCGCATGGCTTCATCAAGGGTGGCAACATTCTCAACACAATCTCTCTCCTCCAATGAACCTGTTGTTTCAGTTGACTGGCTCCACGAAAACCTCAAACAGCCTGATATAAAGGTTTTACTTGTTCCTCCTTCTTCCAGGGATGAATTCAAAACTTATTTAAGGCGGTGATGCTGTTCAATCTAGTCAATTAAGGGCAAAGCATTTCTCTTTCACTTCTTTTCCTATGCTTAGATTTTTCGTTTTCGTTTTTATTAAGGTACTGGATGCATCTTGGTACATGCCAAACGAGCAGAGAAACCCTCTTCAAGAGTATCAGGTGCTCACCCTGATTGATACCTATATAAATAAAACTACTTTATTCTCACTTGATGAAAAAACTAAATGGAACTAACTTTTTCTTCATTCAAATGCCTGCATTGCTTTTGTTGATTATATTCGTAGATGGAAAAATTTCATCCTCTACTAGACCCCTATGTGGTTTATAACTTTATTTGCTCAACTCTCTATCCTTCTATTTGAACAGGTTGCACATATTCCTGGAGCACTCTTCTTTGATGTAGATGGTATATCCGATCGTACTACAAATGTAAGACTTGTTCAAATTTATTTCTTCTTTTAAGAATAATTTGCTTCATAATGTAATCTTTCACATCATGTAACATCTAGTCTGGCGTCAGTGTCTCCACCACGCCTCCGTCCTTTTTTCATTTGAACTCATCTGGTTCTACAGTATCTATACCATAAGAGATGTTTCACCTAACCACACAACATGCTTTTGAGATTGATCACATCATCTTTCTGTCGTATAAAATGCTTTATTTCTTTGTTTATGTTATCAGTTGCCTCATATGCTGCCATCTGAAGAAGCATTTGCTGCTGCTGTATCTGCTCTTGGAATCGAGAACAAAGATGGGGTTGTTGTCTATGATGGGAAGGGCATCTTTAGTGCAGCTCGTGTATGGTGGTGAGTTAACTGATTACTGCAAAAGGCAGATATGCTCATTTTGTACGAAATGACTAACAAATTACAAAATGGATTATCAGGATGTTTAGAGTTTTTGGACATGACAGAGTTTGGGTTCTAGATGGTGGTTTGCCAAGATGGCGTGCCTCTGGATATGATGTCGAATCCAGTGCATCTGGTGATGCAATTTTGAAAGCTAGCGCTGCTAGTGAAGCAATAGAGAAAGTATATCAACGACAGGCGGTAAGTAAATGCTTATTTCCTGTGAGCTTCACTTACTTGTATATCTTAAAAACAGAAAATTGCTACAACAAAGTATCTTTCTATAACCTTGATAGCATGGCAGTGTTAAAGCAATAGGACTTGAATTTAGTGGTGGCAAGATCTTTGTGCAAAAATGCCCCCCTGGGGCTTTTGGTCCATTGGTACGAGCACAGAGTGTGATTTGTGAGTGAGTCGCGCGTCACTGAGTTCAAATTATAGTCCACAACCCTCAGGGATATCTCGGGTTAAAAAAAAAGGTCTCTGTAAGAACTTTAATGAGATAACTGTTTTCTTAAATATGGTTCTATCTTTGATAAGGAGAAATCCAATTGGCCAGGTCATGGTTTTTTTGAAAAGTAAAAGGGAAGTTGCTGCCTTTACATAAGAACAAATAAAGTTGAAAACGCTGAAGGCATTTATCCACTTGTTAAGTGGGATCACGGAAACTTTATGAAGGATTTGTTACCAAATGTAGATACGATGAGACAAAAGTTTCAACACAGGATTAAACGCGGCCACTGATTCTCTGTTGGTTATGTGGTAGAACCGTAGAAGTTCAATAAATCCTTTTTCTTTCATGTTTGTGGCGCACAGTGCCAAAAGGAGTTTCAAGGAACTTAAGGTTTAATTATGAGGTGAAGCACTACAAGCAATCAATTTGACAGTGTCCTCTTTCTTTTATCCTTTATTTATTTTTTATTTTTTTATGACAAGGGAAACCCGCAGCCGCTACCCTTTGGTGCGCACAGGGTAAAACCCCCTCTCCTATGCAATAGCTCGCAAACCACATAGGAGAGGTAACCCGCACTAGGCAAGCCCTATGTGACGAGCTCGACCCAGAAGGCAAACCCCTTGCTTTCGTTGGCAAGGGGTTTCGAACTTGAGACCTCCAACATGGAAGTCCCAAGCCCAAACCACTGGGCCACCCCAAAGGGTTTATGATGATTTGAGAGTTTCCCCCAACATGAATGCTTTATTGTTTCCCAGAGAGGTGGGATGTGTGAGCGAGGGAGGGATTGAGGTGTCTTATACTTAGGCATGCCACACTACATATGTCTTTTCAAGTACTTTTTCTACGGAGGAAATTAAGAGCCTCATTTTATTTATTTAATATCACCACAAACCTTCTATCTAATTTAATCCTGCTACTAATATGTATTACTTAATATTACCATAAGAACTTGTTGTTTGCAGGTTGCACCTATTACCTTTCAGACCAAATTTCAGCCACATCTCGTCTGGACCCTTGATCAGGTTGGTGTGCTTTCTCCTGCAGCTTTTGTCAGAAGCTTTGTAACCATATGCCTCTGAACTGGAGCTAATGGAATGGAAATCAATATTGAAGTTGTAGTCTCTTCACCAGCACTTAATCACATTAGTTCCTATCACGGTGCAATTTAAAACTGATGGCAGGTCTAGGAACAGATGGAGCATGCACAAAACTTACAAATTGTAATGTAGTGTGTTTCAAATTGCAAGCGTGCTCATTAATCCATGGATCTTTTGTACAACTATGTTCAGCCAACAAAAAGCACATCTACTTCCAAGGATGGAGCCATAGTGGTGGCTATGGCAGAACCCGATAGCGTTGGCTCAAACCTTATATTTATGTTAAAAGAATCATTTGATATGTACAAATAATTTATTCAGAACCCAGTAAACAAAACAAAAAATTCTAGCTCAGAAGTCGGAACCTATAAACTTGAAATCCTAGATCTGCCTTTGTCTACTTCCCTTGAATGAGATGTAAAACTCCACGAAGTTTGGAAGTAAATCTGGTCCATGGTTTTTGGAGGTTCTTTAGTGGATCTTTGTACAACACTTAGGTCTAATGGTTTTATAAGTGGGTGGTAGTCCAACTAACAATTTTTCTGCTGTCTGCTAGATTTTTCAAGTAGATTGAAGTTTCTGATTTACTTTCAACAGTAAACGAATGCAATTTTTTGTTGTCAATATACTTTCCCTAGTCAGCAATTGAATATGTGATTTTTTTTGTCAATGCTTCTACTTTTTGATGTGGAGTTGTAACGTTTATACTTTCAGGTTTGGAAGAACATTGAAGAGACAACATATCAACATATAGATGCTCGATCCAAAGCTAGGTACTTTAGTTTGTGGGAGAATTAATTCTTAATGATGCACTACTAGCTAAACTAATTTTTTTTCCAAATATTGTTTTGATGAGATGACACATGGGTCATTTGAGTAATACTATTAATTCTTGTTCCACAAACTTTAAGAAGTGCAACCTAGTTTACAACATTATTTATGACTTCAAGCTGATCATTTCTCTCAACAATTTGTTGAATATGCAAGTAATATTGGTTCTGCACCTTGTCAAATAATGTCGAGTAAATAGAGGGCATGAGTAATATCTTTTTGGCATGTCTTGTAAGAGGTTAGGAAGAGGTGTGTAGCATCACACTAGCATGTTCATGGTCAAGATGCTGATCTACCACATAGCCAATATAAGTTGGGGTAAGGACATAGCTGATATAGATCTGTACATGTACACTTATGCTCTATACTGAAATGAACCATAATGTTTGTTGGTTTTTTAGAAATAAGATAATGTATCTGTTGTTAGTATTATACAAAATGGATTCAAAATCCATTGTTCTAGTCAAGTACCGTGAGTTTGGTTATTTATACTGTTTTAATGTATGAATAGGATCTTCTAAAATTCATTCTACACAATTGAATTCATTCTGAAGTTCTGATTTTTGCTTGCCCCTTTTCAGGTTTGATGGTGTTGCACCAGAGCCTCGAAAAGGAATAAGAAGTGGTCATGTACCTGGGAGCAAGTGCATTCCTTTTTCCCAGGTAAAGGTTTATTATTATTAGTAAAAGAGATGCGATTTTTCAAAATTTCTCTCTACTAAAAGCCATTGTCTGCAGTAGAGGAATGGAATAGGATTTTGATTTAACTGGTTAGATTATTTGTTGAGGCATTTGATACCTTTTGATCTTATTTAGGTAGTTGACTTTAATCATTGGTACTCCAGATTATCCAACGCATGATATTGGAGGTGTCTCATGTTGATAGTGATTAAAAGCTATCACCCTTGACAATAATACCACAGTGACCGTGTGTAAGACCCTAAATAAGGATAATACTCCTGGTATAGAATTTGGGATTAACTTTATCCCACGTTTGGTTTGCATTATTTGTTAATTCTGATGTACTTTTACACTAGAATGGTGGGATTAGCATTCCCATATAGGTGATAGCTAATCCCATGGGATATCCCACCATTGTACCAAACGACCCCAACGGGTTTGCTAGATGTTCTCTCCATATCTTCCAAGGTTATTGTGAGCACATTGGGGTAACTGAATCCTACCTTCTGCTCATGCTTGAGTACAAGAATGCTTGAAAAATAAGCCATGCCTATCTTCATCCTCCTGAGGGGCACCTATTGCACATTGCACCTAATGCCTAAGTGTGTGCTTCCTTACATGTTCTTGTTTCTTTTTACCAACAAAAATATAGAGAGTGTTCTTTGTTTCTGAATGTTGATCTCTACTCTTTAATTCCTGGACTAAGCTCTGTATGAGTAGAGCTCTACTATTTGTTGAAGCCATTAATACAACCAAGGGTAATTATTCTGGCGTTAATTTTTAAAAAAAAATATTGATTCCTGCTCTGACTAATTCCTAGATTAAGCTCTGTAATCATATATTCATATCTGGTTCACTTTGGTGATTTCTTACAGATGCTTGATGGTTCTCAGACACTATTATCTAATGAAGAGCTCAAGAAAAAATTTGATCAGGAAGGTAAGAACAGCTTCCCCTTGCTTGATGGACTTGCACAGGGAGAGAAATGGTAAAGCATTTGCATATGTGTACATAATTGGATTTAGTACAGTCCCAAGTTTAAATGTAATGGTAAATTTGAAAAGGCGTCCCCTTTGAAATGAAGAGTTAATTTATATCATCCAACCTCATAATTTAGGCATCTTTGCATCTGGTCCTCTTTAACCATACTATAAATTATCCGACTTTCGCCATTGCGTGTATGATAACCTATTCTTCTATAGGTATCTCTTTGGACAAACCTATAGTAACTTCCTGTGGCACTGGAGTAACAGCTTGCATTCTTGCCTTGGTTAGTGAAACTCTCTGTTTCTCTCTTTCTTATGATCCATCCTTGTATGACTAATGTATGGCGCAGAGAGGATTTTGAAACTTTGTTCATCTTTGTAGGGCCTCCATCAACTTGGAAAGACAGATGTTCCAGTCTATGATGGTTCGTGGACAGAATGGGGAGGGCATCCAGATGTACCAGTCTCCACATCTGAAGCATAGATTCTACATGCTTTGAACAAGTGCTTCTACATATGACTTTACAAGGCCTACTTTGTCTGTTTAATTTCTTGTTGGTGAATATGACAGCAGGTGTTGTATCATGGAATAATGAAACAATATGATATTCAAAGTTAGTTATGACACATAAATATGTCCAGAGTCTCATAGGGCGGGAAGCCAAATGAGAGGGTCTGGAGACGAGTTGGCAATGGATTGTTATCCCGTCAGGACTTATTTGCAACGCTGTTGTGTTAGGACTTGGATGCTAGTAGTAGTAAGCAGGGGAAATCAGACTTGATTTTGAGAGAAAGAGATAGTGTGCCCAAAGAAAGGGGTCATTGGCCAGTTTAAAAGGTATTGTTTCCCAACTATTATTGGTCAAGTTGAAATTTGATGAGGAGTAGAATTTTTCTGATCTTTCATAAGCAACAAGCATGTGTTCCTAGCACCAATAACAAAATGAAGTGTGAAGGGATTGAGTATTTGTTTTTTCCAGACCACACTGAATTTTCTTTCTTTTCATTTTTTCGGTATCCATCCCCACTTACTATTCATTTATGAGGTATTGTTGCGCAGTTTGTGACTTGTGGTCTCATTATCTGTTGCGCAAACTAATAATGATTTTTGGATTAGCAATGTGAGTGTCGTGTCCCTTGTTCAATTTTCACTTGCACATACAATAATTTGATGACAACAAAAGTAGGTATGCAATGTATGAGAATTTACTAAACAATTAAGAAAATGAATGAATTAGCGAATCGGAATAGAAATCGTCATAGTTGCGAGTGGTCACTCACAACGTTTCAAGCAAAGAGATGCGCGCTTTCGTTCGAAAACCAAGTGCCACCGTTTCGTTAAACGTCTCTTTGACGTTTATATATATTTGTATTTGAATGCCCTACAATAGTAGTAATAAATAACATTTGTAGACTTACTTATACCCCCAATTAATCAACTGCTTGTCAATGGCTGACGCCGATGATAACCGCATATTGAAGGACAGTAATAATAATGATTTAAAGGCCAATAGTATTCTGGAAGAAGAAATTGAGGAGGGTGGTGCATCCAAAACACAAGTGGGGAATGAGGATGGTGCATCCAAAACACAAGTGGGGAATGAGGATGGTTTGAAGTCGACATGTACTGATGAAGAAGAAGACGTGAGTTATGATGATAAGGAAGCAATAGAAGACCTTATTTCAAAGCTTCACATTAATGGAGATCAATTACCTACTATAGGGAAGAATGTTTCAAGCCCACTAAATAACTTGAGATGCCGAGGCCGCTCCACCTTACTGTTGTTTTATCGTCTTTGGAGAGATCACCTAGTCAAGAAACCTCCTCTCTAGTTATTGTATATTAATTATCCTATATGTATGTATATTCCGTTATTGTGTAATGAAACTAGTATCTTCTTTTATGTATGTTCTTTTATATAGAAGTATATGTCGTTTGTTTGTTTAAAGAAGAAACATGTGATCGCGTGGCCTAATGGATAAGGCGCTCGCCTCCGGAGCGGGAGATTGTGGGTTCGAGTCCCATCGTGATCGGATCTTGTTTTTTGGTTTATTAGTTAGTAGACAACTATATTCTTTATAGGCAAATTAGTTACAAGCTTTATGGAGGTGTGAAGAACATCGATCTCTTTGAACGGGGGACGCTTGGGCCAAGGAGAAGAAACAAACACTATACTATGAATAGATCCTTCAGCCTCAACAACTTCTTCTTCTTCTACCCATTGTTAAGCAGTTTTTATAAGAGACCCGCAACACCAACAAACAAGAAGCATAGATTCCTTCCAATTGGTCACGTCACGGCAAATTAACCTTCCGTCCTCAAATCATTTAACCAGGGATTTCTATTTGCAAGTGTAAGATGGCAGTATTGTTTCTTGTAAATCTGAATAAACACTACATCTCCTTCCGTGTACCAAAAAACCAATGGCTGGCTCGAATAGAATCTCCTAATTGTGGAGAGGCAAAGAGGGCATATATAAGCTCCAATACAGAAAGAGAAATCAACAACTAATAGTTATTTCAAATTATCAACCATAGAAGATTCTCTTATCACAAGAGAAAGTACCTCAATGAGGCCCAGAAAGTGCTTATTACAGTTTGATCCACCACCTTTTACAAGACTCTACAGATCCAAACTCGCTCCAGATTAAAATCCAGAGATGAAAGCTAACAGAATGTGCAAAAAAAAAGGAGCATATATGGCTTAGGCGTCATCCAGGGCAAGCACCCCAGGAAGTGGTTTCCCCTCCAGAAGCTCCAAGCTAGCACCCCCACCAGTTGATATGTGGCTCATCTTCTCTGCAAGTCCTACCTTCTCCACAGCAGCTACAGAATCACCACCACCTATGATGGTGGTCACTCCCTTTCCGCTAAGCTCTGCCAGTTTCTTTGCAATAGCCTGGCAACAAAATGAACATTAGATGCAGTTGATCACCAATGTCAAAAGTGAAACATCTCAAAGCATCACTAGAAATATTCCTAGTAGAATAACAACTCCTAAATCTCTATCAGCTCAGCTTAAGAAAATCTCCATTTTATACCTCCGTTCCAGCAGCAAACTTGTCAAATTCAAACACACCCATTGGTCCATTCCAAATGATAGTCTTGGTGGTATCCAAGGCACTGCCAAAGGACTTGATGGCATCAGGTCCAATATCTAATCCCATCCAGCCATCAGGAATTTCAGAGGCTGGAACAATCTGAAAGTGCCAAAGAAAACCAAGTCAGCCAAGACCCTAAAACAGATATTGCTACAAAAAGAATTCATCTTCCAAATCAGGAAAGCAGTTAAACATATATTACAGTTAGTTCTTACTTTTCAAGATAGAAATGACCTAGTAAAACATTTATACAGATGAGGGTTGTACCTTGCTGTTCGCATCAGCAGCAAACTTGTCCGCAATCACTACATCAGTGGGAAGCAATAGAGATACCCCTTTTGTCTTTGCCTTCTCCATGAGAGATGTTGCCAAGTCAAGCTTGTCCTCCTCCACTAGTGATGATCCAACAGCATAACCTTGGGCCTTGTAGAAAGTAAAGATCATTCCTCCACCGAGCAATAACACATCAACCTTCTCCAAGAGTGACTCTATAACACCAATCTTACTTGATACTTTTGAACCACCAACAATAGCAGCAAATGGCTTCTGTGGATTTGACACAGCTCCAACTAAATAGTCAAGTTCCTACAAGCATTGATGATGCAGGGTAAGACACTACAACAAAAATATAAAGGCAACCACAATACGGTGAAAGAGTTTATGAGAGTATCATAACTGCTGAATCACAATTAACCATCCATACATGCAACACAATTAAGCAACCCTTGAACTAATAATTCTTCCTAGAACTATGCATAACTCCTCTATATTTTGAAAATGCTTTCCTATTTGACAGCCTGAAATCTTAGGTTAGTACCTTTTGCATAAGGAATCCAGCAACAGCTGGTTTCAAGACCTTAGCAACCCCTTCCGTGGAAGCATGGGCTCTATGAGCAGTCCCAAATGCATCATTGACGTACAAATCTGCAAGAGATGCCAACTTCTTGGCAAACTCGGGGTCATTCTTCTCCTCTTCTTTGTAAAATCGCACATTCTCCAGAAGCACAACTCCTCCTTCCGGTAGTTCAGCCACCAAGTTCTCAACTTCTGGGCCAATTGAATCATTTGCCATCTTGACCTGAGCAAAATCAGCAAATAATATCTTTCTTAAATTGAACTAGAAGAAAGAATGAGTCAACAGAGAATAATATGAGAACAACATACAGACCTCGATTCCCAATAGTTCTGAAAGTCTAGGCACAAGTGGCTTTAAGCTGTACTTTGGAGTGACACCTTTAGGGCGACCCTGAGAAAAAACTGACAATCAGAGAAAACGCAGATATGGGGGAAAAAGCACAAATAATTTACACTTGTGCGGAGAATTTCCTCAGCCATGCAAAGACAATGAGTAATAAACCCTAGATAGAATTTTCAACAAGTGAAATTCCAGAGTTAACAAAAACAGAGAAACAAAACTAGTTTCTCAATCTTCTGAAGCTATCAGATCTCCTCATCGAGGAAGACATACATCCAGAACACCATTTATGCTTGGTATTGTGCTGTGCAGCATATCTCTTCTATATGTATGTTTATAGTTCCACTTTGGATACTCAGACAGATCCCGCCCAACCCCTTCTAACTCAACTTCAAAAGTTCTTTAGCTTACTCATCTCATTGTCAAAAGCAGTATATGAAACCACAAAACTTAATCAGTAGATGCTGATTTAGCCAGAGTTCTAATCTCTTACTCTAACTTTACATATGCTCTTCCGTAAGACATAGTAGTTAGCTCCCAAAAAAGAAAGAAGCAATTAAACCACAGTAGAAAGAGCCATTTAACACAATGAAAATGCACAAGAGCAGAACAAATGCATGTTTAAAAATGTAAACCAACGGTCAAGCAAAATCTATCCTGGACTTGATGAAAATAATGAAAGAAAGAGGGCGAGGATATCGAAATGATAGCTAAGATTTAGAAAAGAGAGGGTGAAACTTACCAGATGAGAGGCAAGGATGACTCTGGCACCATTTTGCATCAAGTACTTGATGGTAGGTACAGCAGCTCGGATTCTGGTGTCATCAGTGATGTTGAAGTTATCATCCAATGGAACGTTGAGATCAACTCGGACGAATACTCTCTTCCCTTTCAGATCTGCTTCTTTCAGTGATCCGACACTCTTCTTCACCGCCATTCTTCAATCTGAAAAACACTATCTGTCTGTATTAACACACCAGACAGTCATCATTTAATAGAAAAAATCAGAGCTGATGATCAGAAACTCACCGTTAATTTCGTCGGAGAATTCAATGCTATGATCGGTGCGATGTCTACAAGTGATTGGAATGGTCGAGGATGGTGTAAATAGGGGATATCCTCGCGCGTTCTTCGCACTCGCTTTCCTTTCCGTGGCGCACATTGCTTTAGGGCAATATTATGGGCTTGGGCCACTAGTTTCCATTTCTATTTGTGTCTTTAATTTTTGTCCTTTTAAATTAAAAAACAAAATAAAATTGGCTGAAAATAAATAAAGAATTAAGGAAAAAGATTATTCAGTTTCAGAACATTTTATATCTTAAAAAAGTTTACAATCTAAACTTAAGTTTGAATCTATAAAATTATGCCTCAAGGGGCAAAAGTTCATGTAGGTTAAAGACAAAAAATCTCTAAAATTATACCTTTCAAATTAGATATTGAGGTGGGAGTTTCAACTTGTCTTTTTTCTATTGAATGAAAAAAAACAGGCATGAAACGTCTAGATCCAACATGCATATATTCGTGATGGTTGGTAGGTTGAAGCTTAAAAAAATACTAGTTGAACTGGTCCTCCATTTGATTCTCATTATTATGATAGTGTTATCATAGGCATAGCTAGGACTGTTTATCTTCAATTCTTTCTCCCAAAGAGGCTTTAATCTTTCCCTTTGATCATCAAGTTAAAGGAATTCACTTTCTTAATTCCAATTCAGTAACACTTGTAATCATTGGAAGGTGTTATACGTCCAACTTCCGTCTAAAAATATATTGAAAAAGTTGCACAGTAATAATGTAAATCCAAATTTGATCAATTCAATTTTCACAAGTTAAAACTTGTCACATGATAAGTCCGCGGACTGAACTGCACTGTATGCTTGCCCTTTTCTGCTCCTTGTTTAATTTTTCATCACAGTTTTCTTTTCATCAAAATTAATGTCCAATAAAACGACCGGTTTTCTCATAGTAGTAATTTAAATATGTGCTGAATCAATCAATGAACAACAAATATGTCATGAGCAGGAGGTGTCAAGTGAATATTAACACGCAACATTAGTTTGTTCAGATAACAAACTTCTTACATCTAAACAAGTTGAACCAAATCTGTTGAAAGACATGAAAGTTGTAGCTGTCTATAACTGATTGATATACACACACGCCCTTTATTTAGACAAAGAAAATAGCTGGGGAAAAAAGGACCTTATATGGCAAGTATCACCTGAAAAATCTACAACATCAACTCAATGTTTCCCAACTGATTAAGTTAAGTTGACCGAAAAAAGAATTTAGTACAAATTGTTTTACACTGCAACAGGGGCGTCAGCTTCATCTAGAGCAATGACACCAGGGAGCACCTTTCCTTCAAGTAGCTCCAAACTGGCACCACCACCAGTGGAGATGTGGCTCATCACGCTAGCCACTCCAACTTTCTCAACCGCTGCAACAGAGTCTCCACCTCCAATGATAGTGGTCACTCCTTTCCCACTTAAGTCTGCTAGCTTCTTTGCAATTGCCTATCACCACAATAGCATGCTTGTTACTATTTACTCTTCAGTTACAGAAACAACTCTATCGAAATGTACCAGAAAAATTAGAATAATAAATTCACACACTAAATGACATATCAAACCAGCTTACTCCTCTTCCTTTCAAATTTAAAAAACATGTAAAACCAGCTTTATTCCCTTTCCGTTTCTTTTATAGAACTCAGCATACGGTAAAACAAATATGAAGAGAAGAATGACAATTGGTACCTCCGTTCCAGTAGCAAACTTGTCAAATTCAAACACCCCCATAGGTCCATTCCAGATCACTGTTTTTGTGGTATCCAAAGCATCGTTGAAAGTCTTGATAGAGTCAGGTCCAATGTCTAGCCCCATCCAACCATCTGGGATAGCAGATGCCGGCACAATCTGGAATAACCAAAACAAAATTGTATTTTCAACACAATCCATAAGTAACAAATTCTGATACTAAGTGTCAATTACAGTACAGATGCAAGATCCAATCTAAAGAATCTCAAGAGATGAAAGTTCTCAGGTTAGATAGGTTTATACGAGAAAAGCTTAGAATGCAAACCTTGCTGTTGGCATCAGGAGCAAATTTATCTGCAATCACAACATCAGATGGTAACAAGAGACTGACTCCTTTTGCCTTGGCCTTTTCCAGGAGTGATGTTGCAAGCTCTAGTTTGTCTTCCTCAACCAAGGAGGAACCAACTGAAAGACCCTGAGCCTTGTAGAAGGTAAAGATCATTCCTCCACCCAAAAGCAATATATCACATTTCTCCAGAAGTGATTCAATCACTCCAATCTTGGATGAAACCTTTGAACCACCCACAATAGCAGCAAATGGCCTCTTTGGAGTTGAAACTGCCCCAACTAAATAGTCCAATTCCTGAAACAGATAAAGGAACAGTTAGACCAATAAATTTGCTAATGAGTGCAGTTTGCAATAGATTTGTTTTAAGTTTGTCAAAGAAAACAATATGCAAGGAAGTGACAATCAAGTAAGCCTGACCTTTTGTAAAAGGAAACCTGCAACAGAAGGCTTCAAAAATTTAGTAACTCCCTCTGTAGAGGCATGTGCTCTGTGAGCTGTACCAAAGGCATCATTCACATAAAGATCTGCCAATGATGCAAGTTTCTTTGCAAACTCAGGTTCATTCTTCTCTTCCTCCTTGTAGAATCTTACATTCTCAAGAAGAAGAACACCGCCCTCTGGAAGTGAATCAACCAACTTCTCAACTTCTGGACCAATGCAATCATCAGCCTTTACAACCTGTTAGTAAATTAAAGCATACATGGAGTCAATTAGATCATCACAAACTATTACTTTTGCCTTAATTATTTCTTTTTATCTTCTTGTATATCAAAAGCATTAAAATTGTAAGAGGATGTACCTGGATTCCAAGTAGTTCAGATAGCCTAGGGACAAGCGGTGCTAAGCTGTATTTAGGAGTGACTCCCTTTGGCCTTCCCAAGTGAGTGGAGAGAATAACTTTAGCCCCATTGGCAATCAAGTGTTTGATGGTAGGGATGGCAGCTCTAATCCTAGTGTCATCAGTAATGTTCTGTGCATCATCAAGTGGGACATTCAAATCAGCCCTGACGAAGACTTTCTTGCCCTTCAAATCGGAAGAGCTAAGGTCTCCAACGCTCTTCTTGGCCATGGAGACAACGGCCCTAACAGGGTTGGAGGAGGCCTTGAGAGATCGGAGCTTGGTTGCGACGTGGTTGGTGAAGAGAGGATCAGCGACAGCGCCGGCGAAACCGAGGCGGCGGAGAGGAGTTTTGAGGAGGAAGCGAGCAGAGGAATGGGTGGTAGACCTGTTGGTGGTAGAGGATGATGATGTGGTGGGAATGCCGCAGAAAGTGTGGGAAGCAGTAGCTGATGCCATATCTCTTTCTCTTTTGTGTTTGTGGCCGCAGACAGAGAGTGGCGAAGAGAGATGTATTATAAGTAGTAATACAAGAGGTTGGAAATGGGCGTCAAAAGGATTTTTCTTATCGTTGCGTTTGGGGTTGAGGTTTAATTTTCTCCCCAAACATATCTTCATTCTTTCCTTCCCCCACCACAAAATTCAACTCACTATATTACTCCTTTAACTCAAGTGTTTTTTTTTTTTTTTAACTAGTATGGATCGGATTGAATATTAACTAGGGTAATGCTAAGGACTTGTTTGACCATACGATATGAAATAATTTAAGCTTTACTTTACTCGTTTTCTAATACTTAATCGATAATATGTTTATTATTCTTCAAGTTCACCAATAGGAAATCATCATGACAAATTTATTTGTGGAATAGTGAATCCATCTCACAGATTATTCAATTTCACGTCAGTTGATTATTGAAAATCAATATAGATCCACAACCACAACAATATATTAATGTCATAGAGGAAAAATGTTTTTTTTTTTTTTTTTTGGAATATTACGTGCTTCATTCTATACCGCAACACAACATATAATGTAAAGCAAGTAAGGGTCGGAAAAAGAAGAATAGGATGAGGATGAAGGGACTTGTTTTTTGTCGTCCGAATTCCGGCATAACTCATTTGACGATTTACCGAAATGGCGACGACAGGAAAGGGGGTCGTCGTCACCTAAAAATTAGAGCTTTAAGGGAATACGAGCAAGCAGTTAAGGACAAAGATCTTTCTCGAGCTCTCGGCTACTTGAGAGAAGACTCGTCAATCGGTAAGTTGGATTGGTCCCCGATCGAAAGAGACTGGCAGGTTTTAGATACATGCTTGAATGCCGATGATATGAGGCTTGTTGGAAGTGCTTATGCTTTTCTCAAGGACAAAGGTCTCTTGCCTAATTTCGCCAAATACAACACTATTGGTAAAGTAAAACCTTAACTTCTCTTCCTTCGAATGCAAACACTCCACTTGTCTACATTTCCCTGTAATCACTCTACACTATTGGTTAATCAAGGATAGTAATTTTATGCTTCTTTCGTTTGTAATGAGACGACTGTTTGTGTTACTGAATAATGGATTGTGGATGATTGAACCTCAATCAAAATGATGTTGCTTGTTCTACCGCAGTTATTCATCTAAATTGGAATTTGGATGTAACTGCTTACCGGAAGCAGTGGTGCAAAACTAAATGATAGTCTGACTAGCATTTGTTGATATGCATGTGCTTGTTAAGCCAGACTTCTGGATGAAGCCCATATCTTTTTATCCTTTCACCCTTTTCTGTCCTAGAAAACAACACAGACAATTCTGAATAGGCCATGGAAAAGCAGGTGACGTTAACGTTAGCTATTTACAGAATCCCCATTTCTAATTAAGTGTGAGAATATTTCATCATTGTCTTATTGATGAAGTGCTTTATCTATTCTATTTCTACATTGCCATTTTCGAGTCAATTTCCTGAAACTTGCTGATTTCATGTCATCTATGTGTGAAACACACATTTGCTGGTTCCTAGAGTGAATCTTTTTCCGTATTTAAAGATATACCTTACCTTATCAAAAAAGGAAAAACAAACAGAATTCCATGTTGGAGCTGTACGCATAGGGAGAGAGAGAGAGAGAGAGTCATATATGTGTGGATATTGCCTTCAACTACTTCACTAAACTATAAAGCTGAAACCCTACTTCTGTATATTCAGTTTTTGCTGCACAAAAATCATTTCATCATTGGTTATCCCACATTCCAAAAGAGTTCACGTTAATATCATCGTTTTTGCAATATTCTTTGTCACAAATCCTGACAACAGTGCCTATATCTGCAGTTTTGGAAGGGCCACGGGATGTCACACCAACCGTCTTAAAGTCTTCAACTGGTTTAGATGGTCAGTGCTAATCCATGTCAGCTCTCTGAAGCACCTAAATTGTTTCAACTTGCATATTTACATGGAATATTCACAGAATAAGTTTCTTTTTCTGACTTTCTTAAGGAGAAAATGTACTGATTTAGTAACATGTTTTTTAACTCTTCTGTAGTTCAGTGACCAAACTTTCGCCAAAGAAGTGGGGTCTTTCTGGAACATCTAGCTTTCTTTTGGCAACATCGTTTGCTGGAGTCACGTTTCTGCTGAACCAAGGAATAGATATTAGGCCTAACATTGCTGCAGTTTTGGGGCTTGCCATGCTAGATGCTATATTACTTGGTGGTTCCTGCTTAGCACAAATCTCCAGCTTCTGGCCTCCCTACAAGCGTCGAATTTGTGTTCATGAAGCAGGCCATCTCCTTGTTGGTAAACCATGTTTCTGCAAACATTTGATGAATTTACTGCAATAGAATGAAAGAACTTCAGAAATTTGATTCATCCATCTTCCAGAGATTAAGTTAGGATAATCTGTACTTCTGAATATTAAAGTTTCGATGCGATGACTTGCCATAGATATCATCAGCTTGTTTACCCAACATCAACTGCTTAGAATATCAGTCTTGGCCTTTCTATTACTATCAGCACTTATTGTCTGTAACATTCGAAGGAATGTAAAGTTGTAAGCCTAACCTACCTCTTATAGTAATTCATTTATCCACTGATATGACTGCAGCATACCTAATGGGTTGTCCAATTCGTGGTGTAATTTTAGACCCAATTGTTGCAATGCAGATGGGCATTCAAGGACAGGTATGTCACTGTAGATCCTTCTTATTGTCTCTCTTGTTCAGAGTGTAATGCTGGATCACTTGTTAAAATAACGGCCAACAAAGACCGTTTTACATAGATAACTGTTTTTACCATTCTCCTTAAGTCTTTAAGGCGAGCAGATGGGAATTCAAGACATCTGTTTCTGTCTGAACATGCACAAAGAGTATTCTATTAGATGCCACACACTGTACAACAATTTTATCCATGACATTATACAACATTTTCTTATTTTCCAGACCCCACTTGTGGGATTACACTTGGTATGCTGTTGTTGCTTCTAGAAGCTTCCAAATTTATACCCTTTGAGAGGACCAGTTGTAGAACAAGTATCGGCTATGTGTTAGCATAGACTCTTGCAGTTGTCTTGTCAGTATTTTTCTATTGAAGAATAGGGGTTGAACGGCGTATAAATAAATTTTTTTCTACATGGCAGAGTGTAACATAATTATGTAGGTGTCCCTTATATTTTCCTTTTCCTCAGTAGTGGCTGTCCTTGTTCTGTGAGAAGAATTTACAATTAAAATAGTGAGTTCTTTCTTGTTTTCTTGGAAATCAAAGTTGTCCTCCACACGTAAGGTTGTGGACCCATTTTAGAACTATTTGAACAGTTAAAATTTGCTCATTTTGGCTTGTGATCTTCTTCTATTTTTCTTTCATGCAGGCAGGAACACAATTTTGGGATGAAAAACTTGAAAATGAGCTTGCTGAAGGCCAGTTAAGTGGTACCACATTTGACAGGTGGATTTCCTAGCCAGTCATTTTGCTTACATTTGTTCCGTGGACGAAATACATTTCTATGCTGGAACCAGCTCTCTGGATTTTCTGCAAGCCATATATTTAGTTCTTTGCTCGATGTCTCGTCAAATTTCCATTAAAAAGGAGATCAAGAAACCTTTTTTGACTATTTTGTTTGCTGCAGTTTCTTGCACCAAGGTAATTAAAAATAAAATTGTCAGGTACTGCATGGTTCTATTTGCTGGGATTGCAGCTGAAGCTCTTATTTATGGAGAGGCTGAAGGTGGAGAAAATGATGAAAATCTCTTCCGAAGCATCAGTGTTCTTCTGGAACCCCCACTCTCTGTGGCACAGGTCTTTCTCTGGTTAAAGTTGTTTGCTTGTCTAGTAACTCTTTGCTTTTATAATGCAACATTCAAGTTTTTCAACAGATGTCAAATCAAGCAAGGTGGTCGCTGTTGCAATCTTATAATCTTCTGAAATGGCACAAACATGCACATCGAGCTGCTGTAAAAGCTATTGAGAATGGATGCAGTCTGAGCATAGTCATTAAAAAAATTGAGGAAGCCATGTCTCTGAAAAAATAAAGCTTGGACTGCAGAAATATTGTACTAGAAGAGGTGATATTTAACCCTTATTCATGTGCAAAGTCAGGATACTACTTGCTCATAAATGAATGTAAACTAAGAATCATTTTTTGGACAATTAAATGCTGGGTGTGCTGAGACATTTAGCTGTGAGGAGATAGGAGATTCCTAGTGTGCTGAGGCACTTGGCTAAGCATATATTATACTGCTATGAAATGCCTCAACTGGAGCTAGCAGAAAAGGGATTGAAGGTTCTTGGGCCCATAAATATGCCTGACCTTTGATCTTGCAGCGTGATAGTTCCTCAAAAGGAGCTTATTTTTCTATGATTTTTTAGGTGAGCAACTTTTTGCTGCGAGCTTAGGAGCAGAATGTTAAAGTTAGGGAACAGAGAGAATCCTGCATCTAGCATCCTTTGATAAAGATTTTACATGTAATTATATAAGTAGCTTATTTATGTTGTGTAATAAAGGAAAAGTCTCATTGTAATTCGAGTGTAAACTATTAAGCAGTCCAGCAATGACCTCTTTGAACTTGTGTTTGCTGAAAAGAATAGAGGGAGGGAAGATATTTATCTTTTCGACCCAACATACTGCTGCTACTAACGACTCTGCACAATTTCAAGGCAACAGCCAAATGAAGAGGCTGCTAGGTTCTTTCCTGGCAACCTCAGCTATGAATGAGCTGTGATGGTTATATTATGTCTTGCATTCTTACAATTGAACTATCCATTGCCGTTTTTTTCTAAAAGAAACAATGCATATAATTCTGCCTGATGACGGGATTGTGAATAATAGGAAAGCTAGAACGAGATGAAGGTGCAAACGCGAAGTTTGCTCCAGGGTGCAGTGCTGATTTTATGACATGCGTCCTCCTACTGGACAACATTTCTTTTAATTAATACCAACTAACTTAACAATGGTTCCATATTCCCTTTCTCCAACCCGCTGCAGATGTCTGTTGATTGTGTAGCCCAGGAAATCTTGACTTAAAACTTGCTGGGTATCTGTCTTTATTGAATGGTACACAAAAACAAAAACAAAGTACTAACATAATTTGCTGTCCAATTGCTTAAACTGCTAATAAGCTCGTTTCCAATAGCCTAGTATATTTATTTATATGTATGGCAATGGACACTAGCCAGAAATAATACTAGAGTTTTTCAACAAGTTCCTTGCTGCGACTGCACTGTAATTGCTCCCATGTGCTGTTTAACCACAATGCCTAATAAGTATAGTTGATAAACTCAAAGCTTACTGGGAGGAACTCCTACTGGTGCATTTCTTGATTTCTTCTCCACTGTTCGAGAGAGCTCTTTAACTGCATCTTTAGGTAGATGTCGAGGTCTGCTAAGCCAGAGTCCTCCATCGACAGGCATGATGGTTCCGTTGATGTATTTGCCTATATACACAGGAAGCATAAACAAGAAAAAAGGAGATTACAACAAGCAAGAAGCAATTTGTGGGTTTCTAATTTGAAGTCTTGATTTAGCAAAAACTGCAGGTAGAGTGGATGTTCCACATTGCTGCACTAAATGAATGCACGATTCGGGAATTATGCATGCTCTTCAGGGAAAAAAGTATGTTTTCCAGTAATGTAATGAGCTTTCTTCAATTGCACTGTGTATAAACATTTTAAAACCAATACAATTGAGGAGGCATAGCAGTAATAACAGGTTTGCGAACAATGTAAGCACTACAAAGTATGGCACACTCTTATCTCACAGTAAAAACAGAAGATTGTTGAACAAGTTCCCTAGAAGCCAACAACAAGAGAGCACAACCTGTTTTAAGTACAGGATAAGCAATGGTTGCTCTCTCTCTCTCTCCTTTTCATTGGAAGCAGGAGCAGGTTCAGGATGTGTAACGGCGGGTTTGAAGCCGACATCACTGCATCATTTGCTTTATTGAAGCAGCATGCAAGGTCCTTCCGATTACCAATACTAATGAATTTTCACATACATATTCTAGGTCGGCTCTAAAAGCAATGTATTCAGATGTGAACTTCTGCACACATACTCAAGACCAGAGCTAAAAGCAATTTGGTTTAAATATGGAATTTAACATACATTTTTCAAGGTCGAAGATAAGAGCAATTGGTTCAAATATGAATTTCCATTAAAAAATATTCAAGATTGGAGTCAAAAGCAGGGGATTTATCCAGGCCCAAAGCATAAACACTAGGTCCACACTGATTGGCAGCACATATTGCCCGGAAGAACAATGTAGAAGTGGTAGTTGGAGTCAAGTCAGTCTGAACCTCCAGTGAGAGAAAAAGAGTGGAAAAGTGAGTCCTCATTTGCAAATTCAACCCAGTATAAGGAACAGGAAGAGAGATGCCACAAGTGGATAGCAAGAACTGACAATAACTGTTCATAGCAAGAAACTGACACTAACTGGTCACATTAGTAGAGAACTTAGACATGCACCTGGTGATGAGGCAAGAGCAGGGAGTAGAAGTGGAAAATGTCTGTCACCTAATTTGAACCATGTCACTAATGACAAGATGCATCTATCTCAATTTATATTTAATATCTTAAAATTTAACCAGATCATTTATGTGCAAGGCTAAAAAGCATCAGATACCAACCAGCATCTGACGCAAGGTACAGAGCAGCCATGGCAATATCATATTTCTCCCCAAGTTTGTACAAAGGCATGTATTCTTTGCTCTTATTGCTTATCTCTTCCGGTCCAAGTTTACGCATGCCAGCAGTATCACCTATAGGGCCTGGTGCAATACCATTGACCCTAATATCATAGTCCGTGCCCCATTCTAGAGCCAAATTTCTAGTGACTGCATCAACAGCAGCCTGTACAGAGAGATGATGTGAATGGGAGTTATAAATAACACAATAAAAATGAACACAAACTATGCTTGAAGCAAAAGTTCCAAACCTTGGCAGCAGCTACATGGATTTGATACCAAGATGCAGTGTAATGCAGAGTAGCACTGATGTTCAGTATCATTCCACCAGACGTCGAACTCCTCCCAGGTCCCCCTTTCTTGATATAGTTAAGTGCCTCATGGCACATAGTGAATGTACCAACAGAATCAATATCTAGTACTGCAAAAGCCATCATGATCATACAAAAAGAATCAGTATGTAATCTGTGAAAGCCTTCCCCTCACTTCAAATTTAAGAGAGGAAAGTGACTTGCTATACACTTTTACTACAAGCACTCCCCTCACTCAACCTTCTTTCCATAACCTCCTCAAGAAGCTTCCATAAGCCCAAGAGATCAATGGAGAAACAAACAATAAACTTTCCTCTTCTACTCTTGTTTTAGGAAAATATAGTAAGACAAGCTGACAACACAGAAGGTCTTAAAAGGAATTTTTCACTCATGACAAGGCAGTTTCTTTAACCAAGCTCTCAGCCTTTGAACCTTGAATCACCTTCAATATAGAGACTAGCCATTTTGAAGAAGCAGGTTAGAATATAATTGAGCAGATTCTAACGATTTCTAAGTCAAGCTACCCACTAGAAGAGAATATCTCCTACAACATCAAGGGTTAAACATTCGGAATGGCTATGATTATGTGAAGATCTTAAGAAAGCTGTTATGACTGTAATAAATAGTTGTTATCAAATCATGTCTGTTTTTCCTCTTCTTCCTACATCCTACTTGAATGGTAGTGGAGTGTTAAAACATACGAAACTGAATCTTATGAAACAAACCTGTCCTGAAGCCATTAGGAGACAAATCCTCAGGAGACACAAGGAAATTGCCAGCTGCAGCATTAACAAGAATGTCGAGCTTCCCAAACTGTTTGACAGTTAACTCTACAACTCTTTTTGCATCTTCTTGCTTGCGGACGTCCCCCTGCAAGCCAATTGCCTAGGGGATGTGCAAAGGAAAGTTAGACAAGTGAAGGAGAGGAGAGGAGCGGAGTAGAGCAGATCAGTGTTGAAAATAAAAGTGGTAGTCTCTAGTTGCCCCTTTGATGTTTGATGGTACATGGACTATAGCACCAAAAGAAGCGGTAACATGTTGTTAAGGGTTTCATGATGTTGGCAAAAAGGGGATCGCAGCTGTACAGGTATATTCAGAAGCAGGGATGAACAGATAGGTTTAATTTAGGGTAAATCAAAATGAGAATCATGTAAAATTTTGTGCATGTGATCAACGACCTAATTATAATAATTAGCATGTATGGATAAAAGTGGAGGAGGAAAAGTAGTTACCGGAATACCAAAGGATTGAAGGTAGGAGACGGCGGAGTCGAGGACGGCCTTGCGGCGTCCCATGATGGCAACGGAGGCACCATGTTTGCCGAACTGAGTGGAGATCTCAAGGCCGATGCCGGAACCGCCTCCGGTCAATAGTGCTACTTTCCCTTTGAGTATGTCTGATTTGAAAGGAGACACGCACTCCATTTCTCCTCTTTATTTCAATTCAATCTAAGTAAAACATCTCTTTGTGTCAGTGGTGTGGGCATATATAAGGTCTGTAGTTGTGGTCAACGCCACACAATAATGTACGGGAGTATTGTTTTTATCGACTATTTTTATTAGGTATAAACAAACAAAAATCCCAATGTCTTTCAACCATAATTTTATTATACAGCAACCATTTTTAATATTCCGTCCAACTGCTCTTTTTGGTTTCAACTAAATGATACTACTTTGCACATCATGCTCTTCACTGCCTTCCTTAATTAGGATTGAACAACCTTGAGGACGAGGTTGCTGCTACTTGTTCAATGGTTTTCAGTCTAATGGTTATACAATACTGACCTGCCTTTTTACAACTCTACTTATGGACAAATCCAAAGTAATACTGGTGGTTCCTATTGAGCATCAGCACCAATGGCATTTTTACAGCTCCCTCTCTCTACATTTACATCTAATAACATGCACTTGTTTTGACCCAAAATTTAGAGTTTCAATAGGATCATCACTTTTTGATACCCAACTGTGAACTTTCCCTTCCTCGGTAGCAGAAGATTAGCAGCATTATTTCTTCACTACAGGACAGACAGACGTGCAAAATGGGCCGTGAATTTTTCAATTGTGAAATGATTAGAATGCAAAAAGGGTTATTGTTAATGAATAAAAGATTTATTTTCTTGTTTTTCCAGAACAAGATACGCAAATATAAGTAGAGCAATTGTTTATATAAATGCCCAAGCATAACGCTTGTTGCTTCAACAAAATAAATTAATTTCCACATAAACAAGTGGAAGGTAGGTAGACAACTATTATTTAGTTGCCTTTTGACCGGTAGTTTTGTTCTGGGAAGCAGACGACAATAACCGTAATCGGCTGGCAATTTCTGTAAAAGAGGGCCTAGATGCAGGATTTGGGGCCCAGCATTGCTCCATCAAGCACCTCCATTCTGAATCACAGTAGTTAGGAATTGTTGGCCTAAGAGTATTGTTCACAATACCTCCTGCATACGAGGAAGAATGTATCAGAATGACTAGCCTGATCAAATAGCAGATCCACAAAAAGAATACAACCACTGAATCGCACTAAAGATCAACATTTATATAAAAGGTTCAAACGGGGACATAAGTTGCAAACAAGATTATGTAAAATCTAGAATGTATCAAAATGACTAACCTGATCAAAATAGCAAACTGACAGAAGAATAGAACTGGTGAATAGCATTAAGGGTCAACATCATATTAAAAAAAGGTTTAAACCAGGGAATAAGTTGCAAACAAGATTGTGCATAATGGTATCGACATCCAGCTTTGCCTTTGCCATTTGTTAATCCTCTGATGCTTCTAGCACTTAAGCAATTGCTTTCGGCCCTCAGGAATCACCGAATGAAAACCAAATAAATCTAAGAACAATGGGCCTTAGATTTGCCAAAATTAGACAGTAATGCATGAAAATCTGCCTGGTTGATTCAAAGTATTTGTAGCTTATCGAGTCAAGCAAGCAACACAGCAACAACCACATGCTGCAAACCATACAAACATGCCAATTTAGGAGGAACTTTAGTCTCACGGATCATCTTAGCCGGCCATTCATCTACTTTGTATCCTTGAACTTGCAACATTTTGGGGGCAGGCATAGCTGTATTCCTGAGCGAACTCTGGACGATTATGAAACGCATGGATACAAGTTATGCCTTGGAATGAAAGACAATTCCAAATCCGCTTTGACCTATAAACAAGGAAGCTACTTATAACAGGATTTAACAGAGAACCTCCCATCTTTACTGGCTGTCCAGTGTATGAGTCCTCCCTATCCTCAATGTTGAAGTGTGTGACCATCTCATCTAAAAGCTTAAGTTGTTCGATCCCAGGACCTCTGCCTGCTCTGGTACCATGTTGAAGTGTGTGACCATCTCATCTAAAAGCTTAAGTTGTTAGAGAGAACACACTTTTATTAGTTAATTATATTCTGAACACTCAACAATCACCACTGAAGTCAATTTTTGCAGCAGCGGGTTAACATCTTCAATCTCTCAATCATTAGACTGACTCCTAAACTGCAACTTTTATCCATTGTCAGAAGAGCAATTACCAATACTGCAATCCTTGTGTTCACGAGAGAAAAATTCTGGAAAAAGATCTTATAGTGTCATATCCTCCAACCATTTTTCACTTAATAGTTTAATCTTTTCTGCATTGCCCATTTTTCATTAAGTATTCTCATGTGACTCTTTCCAGAACCCTCTTATTTGCTGCTACACTGCAACACCATTAGGAGCTATCACTGGATTGGAACAACAGTCTCAATCCGTTACATAATTTGAGATTATCACTCCAAAAGCCACATGCACAATACAACAACAACAACATACCCAGTGAAATCCCACTAGGTGGGGTCTGGGGAGGGTAGAGTGTACGCAGACCTTGCCACTACCTCGTGGAGGTAGAGAGGCTGTTTCCGAAAGACCCTCAGCTCAAGTACATCAAATCCAAGTTAAAGGCGAGGTAAACAGTGTATAAAACATACCATCCAATAAGAAAGATAGTGAATAATCAACAGAGGAGACAATAGCCTCAATAGAACAATGAGAGAAGTGAAACGCAATAAACAACATAAGGCTATAGGTATCACATACAAGAACTGCAAGTGCAAGGCTAAGACTACTACACACGCTAACAACCCATACCCTCGCAAGAAAGGACAACACGCTAGCCCTACTAACCTTCAACCTTAATACGCGACCTCCACTCCTTCCTATCTAGAGTCATGTCTTCAGTAATGTGAAGTTGAGCCAAGTCCTGTCTAATCACCTGTCCCCAATACTTCTTAGGCCTACCTCTACCCCTCCGCGTACCCTCTACAACCAGCCCCGGTCCTCACTGGGGCGTCTTCGCACCGTCTCTTCACATGTCCAAACCATCTCAGTCTCACTTCCCTCAACTTGTCCACCACAGAGGCCACTCCCACTTTCTCCCGGATAACTTCATTCCTAATCTTATCACTCCTAGTGTGCCCACACATCCATCTCAACATCCTCATCTCCGCAACCTGCATTTTCTGAACATGTGAGTTCTTGACTGGTCAACACTCCGCTCCGTACAACAAGGCCGGTCTAACTACCACTCTGTAGAACTTACCTTTAAGTCTAGGTGGAATTTTCTTATCACACAAGACTCCAGATGCATTCCTCCATTTCATCCAAGCAACCCCAATGCGGTGTGTGACATCATCGTCGATGTCGCCACTTCCTTGGATTACAGACCCAAGATACTTAAAACTTTCTTTCTTAGGGATGATCTGTGTGGCAAGTCTTACTTCCATATCTGCCTCCTCCAACGCATCACTGAATTTGCACCCCAAATATTCTGTTTTGGTCCTACTCAACTTGAACCCTTTGGACTCAAGCATTTGTCTCCACACCTCCAACCTCGCATTAACTCTATCCCGCGTCTCATCAATCAATACTATGTCGTCCGCAAATAACATACACCACGGAACCTTCTCCTGAATAGACCGCGTCAACTCATCCATCACCAAAGCAAATAGAAAAGGGCTAAGGACTGATCCTTGGTGCAACCCCATCTCAACTGGGAAAAGTTCTGAGTCACCTCCAACTGTTCTAACCCGAGTCTTGGCTCCACCGTACATGTCCTTTATCGCCCTAATATATATCATCGGGACACCTTTTGCTTCCAAGCACCTCCAGAGGACACTCCTCGGTACTTTGTCATAGGCCTTTTCAAGGTCAATGAACACCATATGTAGGTCTCTCTTCCTCTCTCTATATTTTTCTACCAGTCTTCGCATAAGATGAATGGCTTCGATCGTCGACCGTCCCGGCATGAATCCAAACTGATTCTCAGAAATGGACACCCCTCTTCTCACCCTCATCTCCACCACTCTCTCCCAAATCTTCATAGTATGGCTTAGCAATTTGATACCCCTGTAGTTGTTACAGTTCTGGATATCACCCTTGTTTTTATACAACGGAACCATCGTACTCCACCTCCACTCATCAGGCATCTTTGCTGTCTTAAAAATAACATTAAACAGCCCAGTCAACCACTCTATACCTGCCTTGTCCGTGCTCTTCCAAAACTCCACCGGAATCTCATCGGGTCCGGTCGCTCTTCCCCTGCTCATCCTACTAATAGCACGTATAACCTCCTCGATCCTAAAACACCTGCAGTACCCAAAGTCCCGAAGTCTTTCCGAGTGTGCCAACTCACCCAACACAATGTCTCCGCCCCCTTCTTCATTTAAAAGTTTGTGAAAGTATCTTCGCCATCTCTGCTTGATGGAGGTCTCATCCACCAATACTTTGCCTTCCGCATCCTTGATACACTTCACTTGGTCCAAGTCGCGAGCCTTCCTCTCTCTTGCTTTTGCGAGCCTATACAATTTCTTATCCCCACCTTTGTCCCCCAGCTCGACATACAAGCGTTCGAAAGCTGCCGTCTTAGCCTTCGTAACTGCTAACTTAGCTTCTGTCTTTGTCGTCTTATAGACTTTCTTAAGCGTCCGCTTCTCTTCCTCGTCTACGCACTCTACCAACTTTGTGTATGCAGCCTTCTTCGCTTCCACTTTGCCTTGGACTTCCCCATTCCACCACCAATCTCCTTTATGGCCACCAAATTTACCCCTTGACACCCCTAACACCTTTGAAGCAACTTCCCTAATGCAACTAGCTGTTTTATTCCACATGGTGTCCGCATCCCCGCTACCACTCCAAGCCCCCATCCCACTCAACTTCTCACCCATCTCCCGCGAAAGGTCAGGGGTCAAGCCACCCCATTTAATCCTCGGTCGATCAGATACAATCTTCTTCCTCCTATCCCTCTTAATTTCCAGATCCATCACCAAAAGCTTGTGTTGAGTAGAACAATTTTCACTTGGGATAACCTTGCAGTCCTTAACGAGGCCTCTATCACCCTTCCTAATGAGTAGGTAATCTATCTGAGTCTTAGCTACCGAGCTACGAAAGGTAACCAAGTGGTTCTCCTTCTTCGGAAAGCATGAATTAGCAATCACCAACTCGAAAGCCTTAGCAAAATCCAGAAGCGAAGTACCACCCCCATTTCTCTCCCCAAAACCAAAGCCTCCATGAACATCATCAAAGCCATTAGAAGTTGCCCCGATATGGCCATTAAAATCTTCACCAATGACAATTTTCTCGGTGGTCGGTATACCTCTAACTACCTCATCCAAATCCTCATAAAAGAGCTTTTTGGCCTCCTCTCCCAAGCCCACTTGAGGTGCATAAGCACTAATAACACTCAAAGTACAACCTCCAATGACTAGCTTAATCAACATCAACCTATCATTGATCCTCCTAACCTCCACCACTTGCTCCCTCAAATCCCCGTCTACTAAAATACCCACTCCATTTCTATCCCTAGAACCTCCTGAGTACCACAACTTAAACCCATCGACATCCCGAGCCTTGGAACCTACCCATCTAGTCTCTTGGACACAAGCTATATTTATCTTGCTCTTCTTGAGAATTTTCACTAACTCTAAGGACTTCCCCGTTAGCGAACCTATGTTCCAAGATCCTACCCTCAATTTATGGGAACCCGTAACCCCCTTACCACTATTCTCCCTCGTCCTCGGCCTCAACCGAAGACATGACTCAAAACCACCATCAAATACCAAATCCACTTGAAAGCTACTGAATCTACTGTAAAATCTACACAGGAATACACTTCAAACAGAAAAAAAAAAAAATCTGCCACAGGTGTATACTCTAACAGACCAGATAGCAACTAAACTATAAGATCAAGTCTAGTGTATTCTCCAAAAGACACGATAGCACAACTATACTATACACTGAAGCACTGATCTGAACTACAAAAAAACAAGCAAGAACTGATCTGAAATATAAAGGATGGAGCCCTGATCTGAGCTAAAATGCTAATCAGAAACAGCCAAAAAAATTGAAACAATCCAAATAATTAGAGTGTATTGCACACTGCACAATCAGGTAACCCTAAAATCTACTCCTATGCTCTTCAAATAATTGAAATTAGGGTGTGATTACCTACCAAGCAATACTAAAATACCTAACAAGAAGGGTTTCAATGTAGAAAACAAGATCACAAAATCTGCAAAAAAAGGATCGATAGAACCTGGTCGGTGAAGATGGAGGGCTTCGGTGGTCTTTGGGTTTTTTCCGGCCAGATCTGGTCGGACTCACCTGTGACTGCCTTGCCTGCGCCGGAGTTGGCTGTTCGCCGCTCGCTGCTCAGAGCAGTTGGAGGTCCTGTTTGTTGTTTTCGTCCTCACTGGAACAACGGAGGACAGAGAAAGAAGCTCACCGGTCGGAACTGGTCCTCGCGATGCTTCTGGCCGGCGTCGCCTTTGCTTGCTGGCGAGAAGAACGGATTGGCGGCGGCGCCCGGTTTCCGGCAGGTTTTCGCGGCTGCTCGCTGACCGGCGTTGGTCGGTGCTTCGCCTGAGGGATCGGTGAAGAAGAAGAAGAAGAAGGACGTTGGTGCAGTAGAAAAGCCACATGCACAATAAGCTTCTTTTTTTTTTTTTCAAGCAACGTAAAGTTGTATTCCTCAGCAATGTGGGTATGCTGTCAACCATCAAAAAATCACAGTGCAAGTAATCATTATTACAGAGAGCCTAGGAAGTCTACTAGCTGTTCTACCTCATCTATACCCTCTTCTTTACACCAAAGATATAAAGTATTAAAGCAGTTTTCTTTTACTTTCTGCATTGGATTAGTAATATTCTCAAAACATCTATAATTTCTTTCCTTCCAGACTGACCACCATATGCAAGAAGGGACTAGGCTCCACCATTTTTTCTGTTTTTTACTCCCTCCTCTCCTCATCCAGCAGGTTAGAAGATCTGCCGTATGCTCAGGCATCACCCATGGTTTTTGGAGGAGATTAAGAAACATATGCCACACTTGAGAAGTCACTATACAATGAAGAAACAGATGACTTTTTGTTTCCTCCTTTCACCTTCAGACAATCTCAAAACCTCTCTTTTTCAGTTTCTCCTGAGTCAAGACATGCTCTTCTACATACCTTCCATGTGAAAAACTTGATTTTCGTAGGGATATTAGATTTCCATATTTGTTTCCCAAGGTCCAGGGATGTTCCCAGGCTGTGAGGACAATTTTTTTCTGTACAATCTTCCAACTGAAAATTTCCCATCCCTATCATGCACAATAAGTTTTTATTGTTATGTCTTGGATACTTTACTCCCATTCCCCTCTCTCTTCATCTTTCATAATAGTGGACCATTTGACTAAATGTATTTTCCCCCTTCCAGAATTTTCTTCCCATAAGAAATTACTCTTCAACATGTTTCATCTCTTCTCCACCTTTGTTGGGACTGGAATAAGAGATATAACATATGTTTGAATACCACCCCATACATTATTTAATTTTTTGAAATTGTCATCCCATACATTATTTATCAAAGTCAATCTCCCACCAAATGACAAGTACTGCCTTTTCCAAGATGCTTACTTCTATTCCATAAGATTTTCCTTATTCAGTACAATGAATCTAAACAAATAGAATCTTGACATGTATTCTCTTGATATTGTAATAGGCCTCCTCAAATTTAAAGTGAGAAATCAACTTGAGTTTGCTTATTATGAAAACATAAAAGTTGACACCAAAATCTTGCTGGAAAAGAGAACTGTTACTATTCTCAAAAAAAAAAAAAAGATCTTGCTGGAATAGCGCACAATCATCAAAAAGAAAAATAGTGTGCGAAATTTTTTCCTCAAGAAAGACATTGATAACTGCACAATGAAAAAAGTGTTTCTTGCACTATAAACCGAAAGGAATTCTTAATCATAAAAAAGAAATATGGTTTTGTAAATCTACCCAACGTTATTAGCACAACTTGAATTGGCAGAACAACAAGACATTCAATGTTTAACTTGGGGCAAAAGTAGAGCTGTTTGCTGGAGAGATAGGAACACTAGAATGATAACTAGAGGCATCGCCTAAGCAATTGCTAGTGAGGAGCTTATGCACAAATAGTTGCCGGAGAGATGACTGACGGATATACAAATTGGTTCAAGACACTATAACCCAGCTCATAATAGTCAAGATCCAACTTCCTACTTAGCATGCTGATTTGCAACCAAAAAGAAAAGTAGTTTCTGCGCTGATATACAAATTGGTTTAAGACCTATCCTAGTTCATAACACGCCAATTTGACAGAAGCTAAAACTTCAACATGGAAAAGTAAAGAGCTGACCTATAATAGCTCCATAATGCATATTGGCATAAGGTTCCTCTCCAGTGAGAATCTCCCACAGGACAATACCAAAAGAAAACACGTCAACCTGTTGAATAGTCAAGAGCAAAGAAGATCGTTCAAAGTTCCCATAAGCAGATAAGTACCTAAATGTAGGAAGTACAAATGCCAACTCTCTAACTATTTATCCATGAAAAAGGTAGAAAACATCAGAAAAGACTATTGAGACTTCCCATGATACTATCAAGTCCACAAGGATTGAAATGGAGACAAGGATGCGGTCATATTAAGAGCAATTAAGGAGGAAATGACTTCCATCCTTAAAGCAAGACAAACAAACTGTTATTGCTTTAGCATTTTCTATTGTTTAAGTAAAATATCAAAATTAACACAGGAGAACGGCTATCATTTTATAAAGCGATAAAATTGTGAAATTGCACAGGGATTGTTTTTTCCAAGGACCAAGAAGTGAAATAGTACAGCACATACAGTTTTGAACTTAAGCGGTCCTCGAAATCCCATAGTAATCTGTGCAGGCTTCTCATTCGTTAAAAAAGATATGCCTCTTCCTTGAAATGAGGGGTATCTCTGAATTATAAAAGATACTACTCCATCTGGAATTATCTCGAAGGCTTTCGGAATTTGTGGTCTAAAAAAAAGACTTAGACATTTATGTGGATATAAATCGCCTCATTAAGGTAAAACTGAAATTTTAAAATTCAGTAGTTTCTAATTATAAAAAGGTATTGGATAGAGTAAAAGGGAAGTGTGCCACATAAATAGGGACAGACGGAGTACAAGTTAAAGATTAAAAAAGAAAACGCCTGGTTCAACACAGCCAGACTTGAAATTCTCAGTTTCCTAAAGTGAGATAAATAGAGAAATATGATATGGCATCTTACTTTTTCAGAAACTTTGCTGCTGCTACCATTTAGCAACTCTGGAGCCATCCATGGTAGCGTTCCTCTCACACCACCAGAAACCAAGGTGTTCCGCTTTATCTTTGACAAACCAAAATCACCTACCTAACAAGTCCATCACAACAATATCAGATACTGATTTTACAGTTGCTGCCTTGCTGGTAGATACTTTATTAGGAAATCTTAACTCGAACATTTTTTTGGGATAGATAATTCAATATCATTAGAAAAAAAGAAAAAAAGAAAAAAAAAAGGTTAAGAACATGTAATCAAAAACTAATACTATCACGATTAGACCTTGCAGATTGGTCGTGATGGATCTTTCAAATTCACCAGCAAATTGTCACATTTCAGATCAAAATGCACAATATTCTTAGAATGCAAGTACTCCATACCAAATGCCGCATCCATTGCTATTATGAGTCGTTTACGACGATCAAGATGCCTGTAAAAGGTGAGTATAATATCATAACAGGGGAACAAGGCTCAAAATAGGAGAGTGAATACTAATTTGCGTGTTCATGGAGAAACTAACGATCCAGGTATTGATTTGTTTGGAATGAGTGAAAAACATCTAAGAGCTAATACTAGTGGGGTTCTACCTATCTTTGCGGATCAAAACATGTCTTAGTGAACCATCAGCCATGTACTCCGCCACAGTAGCTAGTGTACCCCCTGGTCCATCTTGCACCACACCATAAAATGCCACAACATTTGGGTGGTGAAGCTTTGACAAAATCTCAGCTTCTCTCCAGAACTCTATGGCCTGGAAAGTGGGAAGATATAAGTAGCTAATCAAATAGAGTTTAACGCATGCTTTAGGCACTAGACCTATGAAGAGAAAGAAGGGGAGACCCGCTTGGATCAGTAGTAGTTAAGAAAGGTTACCAGTCTCTCTAGTTCCGATAATTGCCCAGTGAAGCAACTCTTCTTTATCCGCTTAATGGCAACATCTGTTCCCCTCCATTTTCCATGATACACTGTGCCAAATGTACCTGAACCAAGTTCTTTCAGTTCCTCAAGGTCTTCATTCTTAATGATCTGCAAGTAAGCCACGTGAAAATGAGGACTATTGGAACTCCTTTGTCCACTCCCCCTTTTCTTTAGTACAAATTATGAAGCTTAGGCTTCTTAAGCAAAGAGTTCATGGAAATGAATTGCTAGCATGTATGACTTAGCAGATCCTACACCTACTTGTCTTCCCAGTTTATAGTGGTATGTTTGACAGTGGGAAATAAGAGGGCCAGTAAAGCGATGGTAGGATATCCAAGAGACCATATCAATTCAGAATCTGAGCAATAGGAAAGGAATGAAAATTCAATGAATTTGAAGCTTCTCCCTAGCACATGAAAAGCTTCCAGCTGCTGACTACCCAAACGTTCATCCTAGCAAATGTACAGAATATTCGTAGTTAGACATATCACTGCTCTCCCACAGTGGAAAGTACATTATATTCCCTTCCTTTCCTCCCTTCAGGATTACCTAAACTCATTTCCTTTCTCAGCCTTTTAACTTCAATAACAATATCTAGTTCTTTCCTAAACTGCACCTTCTTGCATGTAATAGCATGCAACTGAACGGAAAGGTAAGTCGTCCCCTGCCTCTCCTCCCTTACTGAGAACCCAGAAATCTTTCATCTCCCAGCCTTTTTACTCCAGGAACATATCTATTTCCTTCCCTGAATCCACAATTGCCAGCATTTAAACTACACCAGACTGGTGCAAATAGAAAATTCCAGCACAAGAAATTAGATCCAAACCTACAACTGTTAGTAGTTTTCATCACAATAACCACCCTACAGGTTGCAAGAGCCGCATAAATTAGGCATTTCTTATGTGCCTCGCTAATATATAGATTTAAGAATGAAAAATTTGAAAGATTACCTGCAGAGAGTTGATGTCAATTTCTGCAAGTGTACGACCTAGAGGCAGTCCAACATTTTTAAACCCATCCTAAAGAGAAGAAGAGATTTAAGAATTCTTAGGCAAGCAATATAAACTAAGAAAGGCTCTATTAAATAGCATATTGGCAGAGAAACGCACCTCAGAATCGATGTCTAACACCTTAGATTTATCCATCATAACATCATCATGGATGTCCTCGCTAACTTCTGTCTGGGTTGCACCAAACCCTAATTGAAGTTGACTATCAACATCACCAAGTGCATGAGGCAGCTCTTTGGGACCATCCCCACCACTATCTCTTTGCGGATCCAAGTTGATTGTTGAAGGAGGCTCTTCATCAACTTTCTGGAGACTGGGTGAGAATGTAATGTGATCTTGGTCAATTAGCGAAATATCTTTCCTAACAAATTCATCCCCTGCCAATTTTTGAAAAAATGACCAGTGCTTTGGTTCCTCATTTTGCATGTTTAAACTCATACCAGCTCCATCCTGCTGCACTGGAGAAATATCGGATGAACTATTAGAAAGTATAGCTTTTGCAAATATATCAGATAGGATATCACGAGGGAACCGGTCATTAATATCAATCAAGATATCTCCTTGCTCAGTCCTGGGTAACACAACAGATGGTTCCCCTTGAAGAACACACACTCTGTAATTCCCTGTCCAATCTGAAGGTTGAGATTTCTCGTTAGAGTTACTGCCATCCCTATCGCCCTGATGAATTTTAAGATGAATATCCCCCCCATCTTCATGGTGATTCTCAGCATCCACATGGGGCAGTGGGTTTGGCCTTGATCCTCTATCCTCTGTCTGCTTGACTAAGAAGTTCGTATACTTATTGTCCGTGCATACTGTTTGATGATTAGCTACGGGAACCTGATCCACATGCACAACATTTTTCATATTTGCAGCATTTGGAATAACCTGCTTCAAATTCAGAGGCACTCCAAGATCATGTGCTGCAGTTTGAGGAGCACAGCATAATGACTTTTCAGTAGAAACAAGCTGCTCGTTCATGTTCCGATTTTGCATTTTGTCAATGGATTCTTTAAGAATTTCTTGTTGTGCAAAATCTGCACGTGAATGAGTTGCAAGAAACTGTGAATTGTGTGAATCATCCGACTTTGATAACCTGCTGAGCAACTCTACCTCCCCTCTTGGAATTTGCATAGAACAGAAACCCCTCTGAGTTGGTGGAACAGGATCAGAGAAGCTTAAATCTGTTGAATCAACTGCTAAAGTGACAGACTCAGGAACAAAAGCTTTATTATACATAGCAGGTCCATATTGTTTTGCTTGTGTTTGGGAGCCTTGACCTTCAATATTATTTATGAAATGAGAATTAGAATTGAAACCAAATTGGAACTGCTGCTGCTTACTGTTATCACAATTTTCCTTCTGCCCATAATGAATGCGTAAATCAATGTCATAAGCACTGGAGGGGATAGGGACATTAGGATTAGCAGATTTAGTGATCAATGATGAGTCATCAAAACCAGCTGAAGGTAAGTTACTCGCACCAATAAACCCCATAACAGATCTACTCGAGTCCTCAATGTTGTTTCCATCCAACTCAGCTAAGTTGTTTGAAGAAGAACCTAGATAATGCAAAGTTGAGCTATTTCTTGATCCCATTTCCAAGCCATTGATTGCCACTACATACTGAAATTCAGAATCAGCATCTGAATTCGTTAAACTAGAATGAGCATCATCCAAGTCAGAGATGGAAAACAGGAAAATCCTAAGTTTTTTTGAAATATCTCCATCTTCTAGGACATTGCACTCCTCCAACATATTCTGCAAATCCTCGTCACAGGACACAGTAACCAAAGCATCAAAATCCTCTCCAGGTAGTTGATATTTTACAATATGAGTTAGATCATATATTGCAACAGCTTTATGCCACAATACTTTCCATGTAATATCCTTCCTGATGCAGATAACCCGTGTTTCCCCACCAACATACCTGAGTTTCCCATCACTAGGCCGAGGTAATATTTTACCGCCAAAGCTACACATTGCCTTAAGCTTTGCCACAGAATCATCACATATTCCAGATGAGGTATACATAAGAGAACCAAAACTATTATAATCTGATGATACTTGTTGCACTGATACCACTGACCCATTGTAATTTTTGTCATCATGTAAGGAAGAGTTGTGTTTCTCAAATTCTTTTGGACCTTTTTCAACCATCGCTAGCATGGAAGTGTCTGAACCATCTTCACATACAGTATGACTGATGCCTAAGATGCCTTTTAGCTCCAAGTGACCTTGTGGAAAACTAGGATCACCCGAAGTACTGGGAACATAATTTTTGCCGGGATTAACACGATCACGCATGAACTCAAGTACAAACTCTTCTCCTGTTTGTAGAGAGAAATTAAGCACAGGCTTAGCCTCGGAACAATTATTGTTTGGAGCCTTTAAATTATGATGTGTATGATCTGGAGGGTCCATTGTAAGAACCTGAGGCTCAGGTTGAAATTCTGCATTTGACTGTTGAGCAGAAGCAAAGTGAATACAGTTCTGATGGTTTGATTGTTCCATAGCATATTAAACCACAGCCCCTATAACTTCAACCACAATGGTAACAGATATGGATGCCAGACTACTTAGCTACGTCTTTAAAGGATCACCATGAACCTAAATGCAAATATCAAACACTTTGCTTAGAACAAGTTTATCCAAAGCTTCCCAAGAAATATGCAGTGGAAGGGATGGACATTCCTAGCTACTGAAATACATTGCTCTAACAAGATTCGAATCTCAATTATTTCATGAAAGGAAACTTCTCTTTCAAGCGACAAACCCTCTAAGTACACTTGTTAATGCTGTGCACAAAAGGAATAAAAGAATTGTATATGAGGAGATTTGGTGTTACTAACAGATATCAAAGAAATTATTAACAGAGTAGAAACTTGTGAAAGTTAAGAAGAAGTGGAGTTTTCTTACATAAGCTTTTTCAGTGATAACTCATACAGATATTCCCCGTTTAGCTTGTGCTTTAGATGTTTTCAGTTTTTCTAATTTACTTGAGGGTAGGGTATGGTATGGTATGTATGTCATTCAATTCGTGCACATAGCCCATACCCTCCAATAATTTAAAAAATTTACGTTCACATTGCAGTGAAGAATAAGTTTGAAGAGATAAGTCCTAAATCTTAGTGCAGAAGGTTGTTGCGATTATTGTGTCAGAAAACTGGATTGTGTTGAAGAAGTTGTTATAAGTATTCAAGAGGATGTAGCAAATGCATAGTCTGGAGACAAACCTTTGAAGCGAAGAATATAATAATGCGATCCAAACTCAAAACCTGAAAGGGGAAAACTCATCATCATTCATGTGTTGCATAAATGGAAGTCAGTCCAGACAAAAAAAGAATTAAGGAAATACTCAGCGCCATTTTGACATTTGAATATCTACTCTACTCAACTCTCATCTCACTCATTACACTATACTACTACATCTCTTCCCATCTCTGTCCCTATCTCTATCTATTCTTCATTCACCACTGCACTGACTGACGGCATCATTCCAAATTTGCCTCAAACCCCTAACCTCTTCTTTTAAATTATTAATAATTAATTATTTCCTTTTTATTTTCTCTTTCTAATCTAATACTCAAATCTATTCTTTTCTGAATAAAACAATAATTTTATAATATATGATTATTCAGGGCAAGTCATTTAAATATAAAAAAATAAAACTAGTACTATTTAAACTAGACAAATATAATATTTGTATTTTCAATATACTCCATCTATCCAATAATACTCGTTCATTATTGACTTTGTACATTTTTAAAGAATTTTACCATATCACTCGTTTGAAAATAATAAATATAATATCTTAAAAAATTATTATAATTAATTAAGAACTAAATATAAAATTGATTTCAGCGGTAGGATAATATTTCTTTGTTTATTGGATACTGGAATTCGTGCATCTTTAACTCATCACTCATTTATTAGCTCCACTCCCAATTCCCATTTGGACTGATTTTTAATTCTTAGATCCACCTATTGTTGTGCAGCTTCATAAGTAAGTAATAAATATTTCACAGTTCATTTAAAATTTATATAAGAGAATTGAAAAGATAAAATAAAGTTGGGGATTTTTAAAATGTCTCTAGACCTTCTTTTTATTTATTACAGTATAATATTATATTATATATATAAATATAAAGCAAAAGCTCTATTTGAACATACAGTAGGTAAATCAATTGAACCTCCTTCCCACATTGTAATAGCATTTTCTGAGCATAATAGTAAATGAAATTATATTTTAGAGCGGTACAAATAAATACATAGAAGGAAAATTTACATAACAATGTAAGACTGGATGGAATATTGTACATTGGAGTGGTGGTGCTGTTGCAAATATTTACTTTCTATATTTTTACGCAACCATTCAAGGATTTGGTGAAATAGTTGGAGTTGCACGAGCTCACAAAATATTACAACTACCTGCTGCTTCCCTGAAAATACAAACCACCTTCATCAGACATTTGGTCAGTCAATCAGAAATAGTCTTATAACTAATGAATGCCTACTTTTTTAAATCTTCATAACGGCTCAGTGCTTCCTCAAATCTAAGCCACATAGGACCAGTCTCCTGCAGGTTCACGTTCTGGGGTCCAGCAAGATAAGCCTGGACAAGAAACTGGAGACTCCTTTCTCTAACAGTAAAAGTAATCAAATCAAATCGATCAATTATATATTAGTGGTAATCCATAGTTCCAATTCAGTAAGAGAGGACTTACCTTCCCTCGTACTCTGATAGCCAAGCCACATAGGCTGCGCCAAAGTACATGGAAACAAATGGCTTTGTAAGATCCTCAACTGACTCCACTTTGTAAGTCTTGTATCCCAGGTCCCTAGTTTTCACGTTTGGAAGACGCATTAGTACTAAAACTATTTTATCTCTTACTTCAACTGTCAATTCAGTTAAGCAACTCTGACCGAATAGATTTTGCAAGTTTAAAATTAGTGAAACTTAGCCAAAGTGAGCATAGGTTACCATATTGCAAAAGAATTAAGAAAAGCAAAGTAAAATACACCAGACCAAACCAAAATGACATTTTATTACAGGAAGGTATTGGTCTCATACTTGTAAAGCCAGCGTGCCGTGGGATAGTCAATTCCCATTAATCCAGTACGCTGTCCAATTCCCTCAACAAAACGCATGGTCACGATCTCAGAAACAGCACATAGGACAGTCTGCAATAACAAGGAAATAACCTCATTACGCTTCCTCTTTATACCAAGTGGTGGAAGAGGAAGAACAACCACAAGCATTCTTCTAGCAATCCTTTTAGATGGTCGAAAAAATAATTCCTTTAGATTGTAAACTAACAAATACGATATACTAAAATCGCCAGGTGTGGCATGAAATTTGAAATTTCTTTCTATCAACAAATCTCTCTAGAGTTATAAAGGTGATTACGGTTTTACATCCAATTTTTCCTGTTTAATAGTCCAAAATTGAGCTTAACCGCTGTCTTTTACGTTCGTAGATATCTCTTCATTCTCTGCAGAGCTTTTACGAAAAATAACATTGTATCGTTTTTAACTTTAATCACTTCAGTAGCTTCTTGCTCAAAAGAGATGTACCCACTTACAGGTTTCAGTCCTCTTGTGCTAAAGTATTTTGAAACAATTACTTCTGCAACTGCCTGCAACAAGATAGGTATGTCAGAAATTCGGATAATTTAGAAATTAAGAACTTGCAGAAAATTAATATCCAAACAACTCTAGTAATGAGTTAAGTTAAGGAACCTGTTTCCATCAAAACTCAAAAGCTATACGTTAACCCTTCAACAGATGCAACAGGCATACAAAGTTCCCAAAAGGAAAACACTCAAAATAGAAGTAAAATGGAGTTTACAAGCTGCAATTAGTATGGATAGTTTAAGCTGGAAAACACAGCTAGTTTTAACAATTGAAGCAAATGGCATAATCTCCGAGACTGGAAGCATCCAACGACTCTTACTAGACTTTACAGTTCTACACATACTGACCGTGCATTCTTACCCTCAGTTCTACCCGAGAAAGATATGGTCTCTTTTCAGTATCATGAGAAAACCGTACATGGCCTCTTTTCTCCCCTGACTTGCTCCACTCCTTGCTCACGCAGGGATGATTCCACATTTCTTCCATGTCTTCTGCGGAAGTTCTAGAGTCCCAAGTTGTATTTACTGGACCTTCACCAAATGAAAAATATATATAAGAGATTGTTACCCTGCAGAAACAATTGAGTGGTACTTTTGGTTGACACAGGACAGAGAAAATATCATAATAATAGTTACAGAATTTGAGACACAGTGTTATACGCTACAGCCAATTAGTATCACCCAGGTCACGGAGGATGAATTTCACATTAACCAAAAGATATGCAGAGTAATTCACTCTAACCAAAATATATACGGAACTATAGATCCCACTTAATATACTAACTAGCTATGTAATGAAATTCGTCCAACAGCTAGACCTTTCTCTGATCTAAAGATATAGATTCTCAATTCCTAATTGTTGTGACGCGTAAAATAGAATATTAAAAAATAATCATAAGCAAAATACTGGAAAGAAAAGAGTAGACAAGGAATGTACAAGTTTATCCTAACACTTCTTTAATATTTCTCATGAAGTCTACTTAAAACTCTCTCAACTCCTCATATTACGAGAGAACTCTCCCCACCACTCATTTACATTTTTTTACTTTTGAATATTATGGCTAACAACGGTAAAGGTAAGGTCTGCGTACATTCTACCCTCCCCAAACCCCACTTGTGGTACTACACTGGGTACGCTGTTGTTGTTGTTAATCCCATGGCTAACAATGAGGAAAGGGTGGCTATCTATAGGTGATTCCTTCACCAGTTCGAATTGTCAACTTGATCACTTGGGTGTGAGGTATTGACATTGAAATCAAGTCACAAACTAACTTCAGATTATCGTCATCTTACTCAAAGGTCTATCAAATTGTAAACTTTCTCAAAGTTGCAACCAAGCAACTAACCAAATGCTAATAGAAAAAATTATACATATTTTTCTGACAAATCCCCACCTTGATTTGAATTTTCTAACACAATAGAGTACTCCACCTTGGATAACATCGACTAAGCAATTTCAACAAGGTTAAGATCTCACTTTCCATCCATTGTAACCCTACAAATGATTAGGTACATAGGAGAACGCATTGCAAACTCACAAATGGCTACGGATACAGGTGAACTTGACTCACATCCATGATCCACCAGAACCCCCATGCTAGGGCATACAAGAGAACTCACATAATCACACCTTATTCAGTGTCAACATTCTGAACTTATGGAGACACAATAAAAATGTACAAATAAGTGTGTACCATACCTCTATGTGGACAAAGTGCCTCTAGGTTTGGAAACAATTTGTTACACTGTGGAGGATCAAGTAATACTTTTGATCATAGAATGATAGTCAAAATACAATAATACA